GACATAAAAAATAGTAATAGAATTGACGAGTTTAAACATAAATATAAAGGTATGTGTCAATCAAGATATATGCAAGAACAGGCTTAATGATTAATTAGATGGAACATTGTGGGTGTGGTGTATGAATGTTAACACTTTGTAATAATTCTTTAGTATATTACTTGTGTGGTGTAGAAGAGAATTATTTACTGCTTGCAAACCAATGATGTAAGATGATGTCATGGGGTAGGACTGGATAAGTCTGACTTCTTCCTACTCCATTCAAGCATGTACTAGGTATAAGCAAATTGATATTGGATTAGCATTTGTTGGATATGTGTGTTGACATATCAACTGTCTTTACATGCTTGAAAGAATAAATAAATCAAATCAAAAAACCCTAACACTTAACCCTATACCATGTTGCCACCCCAAAATTCAAGTCCCCACAATGTGAGTGTGTTAACAGGTTTTGGTCCCCATAATGTAAGTAATACAACAGCAGCTTGTCCCATCTGATACTGGATCTCAGTCAATACACACGCACACTCACCCTGACACACACCATGTCATTATCGTTGTTGGCATAGAAGAGCCTCAGACACTGCCAGCCACTTTACCACATACAACTGTTACACACACACACACACACACACACAGCTGGTTCCTTTGGCTCTGAACCTCCACCCAGCTCAGTGAACCACGGTGTAATCATCAGGTGTCACATTCAAAGGACAGTCCTCTGCTAGTCATTCTGCTTTCTCCAAGCTCAGCAACCAGAACTGTCACGTCATATTTGCACCAGAGGGAAAAAAGGCCAGATTTAAGGTCACAAGACCTTTTAAGCAGCTGATATAAGCTTTCTGCAGCTGAGGAGTTTCATTCGAAAATGAAAAAGCCAGGTCATATGCCTGAATGTTCCTGACAAATTGTCTTATAGATTATAAAACCGCATCCTGTGTGCAATTTTGCTATTTTTGGCTTGAGATGAGAACATTAGAATTCATCCTCTGGAGACCATAAATGTGCAAAACACACATCAAGAAAATTCAGTCATTAGTGTTTGAAATACTTTGCCATCGAGCAAAGTAATGTGTCTGTGATGAGGACATTCTGTTGGTGCAACACAAAGATCAGTGAGTCTGTAAACTCACTGGGAACTGTTCACTTGGAACGTGCACATTCAAATTACATTTCCATGACATCCTGCTTTGGATTATCTGAGTGTGCTTACTGTACATTGTGGGGCAAATATTCCAAAAAAAGATATGATTCCGTTCCCTGGTGTTCATTATTTAATCAATCAAACAAGACTGTCAGGTTTTTTTTTGGCCTCTAAGCCACAATCAAATTGGCAATATCTTCCTGGCAAACTGTTGAGTTAGGCAATGATCTTCCATCACAAACTGAGCTTCAGTAAACTGTCACCAAAGTGTTTTGCATTGGAGAAAAAGGTCAACGGGGGTAAATCAGTCGCAAAATGTTTATATTCCACAGTTATCAACTTTAACATGGCCTCATGGGTATCGTAATTACATATACTAAGGTTTCACAGGTAACTACACACTGATAAATTCATGTTGGCATCTTTAACTAAATGTCAGAAATGTGCACTACTGTAGCCTGCCTACTAGGCTCTGTGCACGTTAATATCCTAAAATTGTTGTGCATTTGCTACAGCTCAAAGAACTCCAGGTGTCATTTCCATCAGATGGAGAAGTATACTGCAGCTCAGAGCAACATGCTCCTAAAAGTGAGTTGAGAAAAGGCTGGTTGAGACAGTCAGGGTGGGAGTGAGGCAGCAAGATTAGATTAAAGCACCTAAAAGTGAGTTGAGAAAAGGCTGGTAGTGAGGCAGCAAGATTAGATTAAAGCGAGCAGACAACAATGGGAAGTGTGTTTGACCTTTCTCATTCCCCTCTTCCTTCATATGACCAACTAGGAGCTTGGGTCTTATATAGACAGGTGGGTGGCTTTCCTAATCACGGTCAATCAGTATAATCAAACACAGCTGGACTCAAATGAAGGTGTAGAACCATCTCTGGGATGATCAGAAGAAATGGACAGCACCTAAGTTAAATATATGAGTGTCACAGCAAAGGGTCTGAATACTTATGACCATGTGATATTTCAGTTTTTCTTTTTTAATAAATCAGCTAAAATGTCAACAATTCTGTGTTTTTCTGTCAATATGGGGTGCTGTGTGTACATTAATGAGGAAAAAAATGAACTTAAATGATTTTAGCATATGGCTGCAATATAACAAAGAGAAAAATTTAAGGGGGTCTGAATACTTTCCATTCCCACTGTATGTGTTCAAATGAAACAGGACTTGGACAGTATAGACACATGTATACATTATCCATTTTCACCGCTCCTCTTCTCTTTTGTATTCTTTCTTTTCAGCTGCCATTTGAAAATGATCATGTGTGAAAAGTTTGAAGTGGGCCTCTCTTCCCATTTATTTTTCTTCTCCTTTCTTTCTTTCTTTCTTTTGTTCTGTACTCTTGTTCTGAGAAATGGCTTCATTTCTGACACACCAGTGGCAAACGCAAACACACACACACTTATTGATTTAGCTTTACGTGCAGACCTGTTTTTTATTACTAAAGAAACTATTATTTTCTACCTCTGTTGACAGGTGACCTGTGTGATGAGGTGGTTGACCCTTGCCTCCATGGTTTCGATCCCTGTCAGCACGACTCAAAGTGTGTCCATATTGGCCGCAGTTACAGGTGAATGACGGCTTCAGGGAAGTTGGGCTCTTTAAAGGCTCAGAGGTCACGTCATCTAAAGTTTGAAGTGACAACAAAACAACAGGAGCAGTGAGGTTAAAAAGTTAAAAAGATGTAAAAACACTTCAAAAATACAGTGCTTTCGTTAAGATAGTTTCTATGATACGGGCTAATTTCAGTATGTTTCTGCAGCACATTTGTTATGCTACTAAATCTTTGAACTTAGTTCTGACTTAATACTTTCTGATATCAGGTAAAAACTATGTTCCTTTAACGTTATAGATAAACTCCACAATATTTGAACCTTATAAAGCTTGTAAAAGTATTGTGTTATTAAGTTAAAAAGGTTTCAGTCCTGAAGAAAAGAAAGTCTGAGAAATGGTTTAATCACTATACTTCTGGGGCCATATACACTTTCAAAGGAATTTGTGCATATGCATATTCATGTCCAGCAGTCCATGCTATAATCTTTCTTAAGCATTTTATAATTAACCTTTTACTGCACCTGATTCTCTAATCAGGTGAAATTTACCATTTCTCCTCAAAGACCTCCCAGTAACTGCCCAGTGGTTTAACAACACTGGCAACATGTTTTACCCTCATATTACATTTGGTTCGTATAAGTTCCTAAATACTGTGCAAAAGAGCTTCTATAAACATGGAACTTAAACTTAAAATATTTATATATCATGCATGTACATTCTAACGTATCCAAAAGGTCCAACAGTGAG